CATTATTTCTTATAGAGAAATTCACTTTGATGTACAAATGCTTTGGATTACAAGCATGTTTCAGGAATGAATTATGCTCATAAGCTGAAGATTTACTAAGCTAAAATACACTCAGCAAAGCTGTAGCATACAAAGTCATTAAACCAAAATAAGTAACATTTTTATATGCTAATAATGAACAATCTGAAAAGAAAGTTAGGAATTCCATTTATAATAAAATAAAAAAGAATAAAATACACAAGAATAAACATAACCAAGAAGGAGTAAAACTTATACACTGAGAACAACAAAATATTGATAAAAGAAATTAAAGAAAACATAAATAAATGGAAAGATATTCTTATCCTGTCCATGGATTGATAATAAGATATCAAGTCCATGGATTGGAGGAGAGTATTCCTAAGGTTACAGTACTACCCAAAGTGATATGTAGGTTCAATGCAACCCCTACTAAAATCCCAAAATTTTTCAGAAATAGAAAAAAATCCTAGAATTTACATTAAAACTAAAAACAAAAACAAAAAATTCTAATAGCCAAAACAACATCAGAGCATTTATAATTCCTGATTTCCAGACTTAACTATTATGCTAGAGTAATTAAAAACGTATGGTACTGGCATAAAGATGGCCATGTAAACAATGGAACAGAATAGAGCCCAGATTAACCTCTCCAATACATAGTCAATTGACTTTTGGTAAGAGTTCCAAGGCATTCAATGGAGGAAGAACAATCTTTTCATCAAATGGTGCTGAGAAAAGTGGCATTCTTATGCAGAAGAGAGATATTTCCTTACATCACATATAAAACTTAACTCAAAATAGGTAACAGACTTAAACATAAGAGCTAAAACTATAGAACAAAAAATACAGCATTAGATTTGGCAATGATTTTTTAAATATATGACATCAAAAGCACAAGCAATGAAAAAAATAGATATGCTGGACTTCTATAAATATTTTAAGATTTCATACAAGAGAATCAAAAGGCAGCACACAGGGTAGAAGAAAATATTTGCAAATCATATATTTGATAGAGGATTCAAATTAATCTAAGCCTCTAGCCCTAACTTTCAATGTACAGAAAGATGGGACAGAAAAATGAGTTAAACATTAAGATGCCTACACAAGTAGAAAGTTATAGAACATGAGACATTCCAAGAGATAAACAGCCTGGCAGAACTATAAGAGTTTTTAAAAGATTGTAAATATAACAACAACAACAAAAACACAAAGAAAACCACATAAACCTTGACCATATCCTGATTGTGGCAGGGGAAGAGGGGAAACTGCAGGGAGAGCTTTAAAATACATTCTTAGGATAACTGTGAAAAATGTGTCTAGATTTTTAAACTGCTAACAGTATTGTAGTTATGCAGGAAAATATGTCAAAGAGATGCATATTGAATAGGTAAGGATAAGCCACTGATGATTCTGAAATGGTTCTGCGGGGGGCAGGGGTGGCAACAATACCCAAACTGTCAGGTTTCAATAGAAAGAAAAAGAGAAAGAGAGAGAGGTAGAAAGAAAGAGAGAGGGAAAAAAAGAATGTAGCTGTGGCTCTCTGCCCCGTGCAGTTCTGCGGAACTGCTTAGACACTCTGCACACTCTTGCTTCTTGGCTAAGGCATAGATAATACCCTGGAAACACGTAATGACACAGCAAGGCACAGTGGTGTTCTCATGCTAAGACAGACTGAGAAGGTGACAAAGAATCTTTACATGAATTGGGGGAAAGGCTTTTCATGTGTACATACAGCTCTTATATAATTGATAAAATCACTTCTATGTAAATGTTACTGTCCCTTTTAGAGTGTACAGAACGATAAAAATTTGGCAAAAGTCAAGCAGAGCCTCAAAAGCAAACCAAAGGGCTGGGGCTATAGCTCAGTGGTAGAGAGCTTAGCTAGCATAAACAAAGCCATGGGTTTAAACTCCAGTACTGCAAAAACAAACAAACAAACAAACAAACAGGAAACAGAAGAAAGAGAAGAGAAGGTGGAGGAGGAGAAAGAAGAGAAGGAGAAGGAGAAAGAGAAAGAGGAGGAGGAGAAGGAGGAGAAGGACAAGGACAAGGACAAGGACAAGGACAAGGACAAGGACAAGGAGAAGGAGAAAGAGAAGGAGGAGAAGGAGAAGGAGAAAGAGAAGGAGGAGAAGGAGAAGGAGAAGGAGAGGGAGAAAGCAAATACATGTCTGCCCACCTGGATTGACACTCGGAGGGGGTGGAGGAGGCAGAGGCCGGCCTTCTTTCATAGCTAGCGCGCACTGCTTTGCTGACTGAATTGCATTAATGAAATCTTCATGTTGTTGTCTCCAGTTAGATTTCTTCACAGGTTGAGACTGTAAGAATCAAAACCAACAAACACTACCAAAGTCTACCCACATCTCAAGGACAAGTTTTTTTGTTGTTTTTTTTTTAAGGGTGGGATTTGCATCTACAGGAAACAGGACTGTAAAATTTGGAGAGAAAGGAGAATTTGTTTTTCAAAACAACTACTTACAGAGGTTTGGGAACTGCAGTAATAGAATTTGCAAGTCACAATGGGGAAGGGAAACACAAAAATAAAAATCAGAAAAACAATGAAACTACAAAACTTTAACGGAAGACAAGTGGAAGTGACAGTCTTCCTAATTGCTAGATTTAGAGCAACTCTATTGAACATACAAACAAAATTTTTTTACCCACATCTAGAAAGTATCTGAAATATATTTGGAAATATAAGTGACCAAGATTATAATGAAAATAGCTAAGGTGGATTACAGTGAAATGAAATTATCCTGCTTTATCAAGCAAAAACAAAACCAGATAGACTGAAAATGGGTGTAAATGTACTTACTATAATAAAGCACAAAAAAGACGATATCAACGGTACCTTGGCTGGAGGAGCCTTCTTCACAGTGGGAATGTCAGTGCCCTGTAATCTCTGCTTCAAGGAATTGAAAGGTTTACGTTTTTTGTCGAAGACTTTTCTACATATTGGTACATGCCTCTTCTAGAAAAGGGAGGCTAGGTATGAGAATTTTGGAAATGCGTAATCACAGAGTTTTTTAATTCTTTTGTGTGTTTGACAGCTCCCACTCTAATAAGTGGATTTCCTCCTTCAGAATCCAGTCCATTTTCTCAATTTTAGACCACAGCAGAGCAAATCTATGTAGCTGTCCTCAACCACATTAGATATAGTACTGTGTTTGGGCAAAGACAGCGAAAGGCCCAGGATGGTGAATGTTCCCCCAAAGTGCAAGTGATATAGGCTTTGTCTCCCAGGGTGGTGCTGTTGGGAAGCTGTGGAACCTGCAAGAGGTAAGGTCTAATGGGAGGTCTTTAGGTCACCAGGTACATGCCTTGAAAGGGATCATAAGATTCCTGCCCATTCCTCCTGGTGGTCCTTTGCTTCCTGGCCATCAGGTGAGCAGTTGTGACCCATCATATGCCTTTGCCACCATGATGTAGTACTCACCATAGGCCCAAAGCAATGGGCCAAGCAACCATGGACTGGACCCTCAGAAACTATATAAATAACCGTTTTATCCTTGTAAAAAGAACATCTCAGGTATGTCATTACAGCAATGAAAAAGTAATAACACAGCTAAAGAGATTTACTTCAAATTTGTTTTTTATATATTTAACTCTGAAACTTTGACACTACCTTCTTCATTCCAGCCAGCAGTCCCTTAAGTACTCAGCATTTTTGGTGCAAAAACTGGGGAACCAATACCTAGAGCTCTGCCCATGGACTACCTTTCTGAAGTCTGTTACTGGGCCCCTCTGGGATGACATCAACACTTTGCCCTTTCTTGTGGTGGGTATCAACACATAATAGCTATTATCCACAAAGTCACTCTATCCCCACCCAACACACTATAGGTTCTAAAATAAATCACCACATTGGGCTAAGAACAAGACACCCCATGTTAAATCAGAGGTGAGGATATCAGATCACTTTATCAAATCTTCTCTGCAGCCTAGAGATAGGCTGAGGGAGTGAAACTCAAGAGTATCCAAAACACACCAGACCTTCATTGATCCCTCTACACATGACCTCCCAGGACTCAAACCTACATCCAGAGGTGCAGTTTCTGGCTGGCAAAGGTAAGAGCAGTGCCCCAGGGAACTCCCTCTAGAGTTGCCCCTAAAATTCCAGAAAGCTCCAACCATAGTTCATGAGAACAGATTTTATTTTTTAGATTTCCTAAAAAAAAAAAAAAATAAAACCCACAACTTCATTTTGTAGCCTCTAAACATAGTTAGGCTTATAGTCCAAATCTTTTGAGATACATCTCCTTGATCTAAAATACTTCACTAATGGCAGTATCATTGTAAGACTTCTAACAGCTCCTCTTTCTAGGAATCTCTTTATAATATTTGGGACTACTATCTGTTTCACCCCCTAATTTTGAAGTAGATCAAGGTTTTATTCAATTTTATAGCCACCCACCAAGACCCTGACACACAGCTTGAATCTGGATAACAGATCTTGGATCAGGCCTTGCATCTGTGTACTACTTTATTCAAATGGTATAAACCGCGCCCAGACTGGAGGCTTCTTTATACGTGGCAAAGTAGAAAACAGGAGGGTTAAATGACTTGTCAGGATTAGTGACAAATTTGCGGCTAAAAAGCCAAGTTTCCAGATGTCTGAAATTCAATGCTCATTCCTTTTGACTAGTTAATTTGCCTGGTGTTTCTTTGGCCTTGAAATGTGAATTTTTGATGCTTAAAGAACAGGCAGAAGAGCCAGAGCCTCTCAAGGGCTCAGCGTGCCAGGACCCCTCCCTCCACCCGGCACGCTTTCAGGAGGAGAACGGCCAGTGGGGCTACTTTTGAACATGGCAGCATCACCATGCTCGGTGCCCCAGGGGTTTGGCCGCCAGGGGTCCGGCGCCTCTCTTCCCTGCTTTCCCTCTGCGTCTGTCTCCAATCTTGGCACCAGCACCTCTTCCCTCATGTGACAGTTTGTTTAACTCCAGTGAAACACATCTACACAACGTCCTTGTGCTTACCAGAGCATCTGCCGCAAAGCGTCTTCCACAGACTTCACAGGGAAACAGCTCCTGACTACCATCTGCATAAGAGTAGAGAGCACATTAGGTTAGTTCCATGGTATTGCCTGGCCGAGAAGCAGTGACTGGCCAGCGGTGACCGCAGTAGTCTGACATCCTCACAGTCTTTTCCCTCCTCACCAACTGCTTCCTTCTTCGGAAGCTCCTTTGTGAACTCACCTGGGTTTTCCCATCCTAAAAAAAACTCACCTGATTGGACAATTCCATAACCTTCAGGCAACCAGAATATAGTTACTTGATTCAGTAGTTCATATGTACTTAAGTGAAGCACCTGAGAGCTATGCGTTAGACATACCTTCAAAGTTAACATCTTAATATAAAGTCTTAGCCAGGCATGATGGTGAATGCCTATCCTCCTAGCCTCCAGGAGGCTAAGGCAGAAGGATTGCTGCAAGTTTAAGGACATTGTATAGCAAGACTCTGTCTCAAAAAACCACACATGTGCCATATATATATATATATATATATATTTAAATTTATAACTATTTGTATAAATAATCCAGTGGTAACGTGTTCAGAATACCTCCTAGGTTGAGGACTGAAAATTCAGACTGTGTCTACTATATCCCAAGTGCCTCATAGTACCTGACACAGAATAAGGTGTTCAATCAATGCAAAAGGTATAATCCAAAAAAGAACTTGGTTTCCACCATAGGACTGATCATTCATTCAACAAGTAGTTAATAATCTGCTATCTGCAGCTCTGTGGAAATATCGAGATAAACCATACATGGGTCCAGCATAGAAAAGGACAGAATGCGGGAAGATTAAAGTAGTCAGGAAGGAGTTAAGAAAGAAGCAAAACATTATAGACTTCTAATACTTCCTTTTGGTTCATCTGGAGCTTATTATGTAATGATTTTTAGAAAGTTTGTTGTTTGAGCATGATTTGCTTTTAGGATAATAATCTGAGCTCTACCCTACAAACAAGGGAAGCAACCAGGAACATGGAGTTGGAAGGAGCTACCCGGCACTGTGGAAGTCGCAAGACAAAGGTGAGAAAGGGCAGGGCAGGGAGAGGAAGGGGTTTAGTTAAACAGCGGGAGGTGAAGGCCTAGAGTAGAAAGAGGAAATGGGACACAGAGCATCTAAGAATCCACCAGGTAACCAGGTTGGGGACGGCCTAGGAGACGGCAGTGAGAGAAAGCCCAAGACCAGCCTGAGCGTCCGGGAAGTCTGAGGTGGCCGGGCTGTGGATAGAAATAGGGAACTCAGAAAGGAGGGCTGCTTTAGGAGGAAAAATGACCTCAGCCTTGGAAATACTGAATGGAAGTGGAGTTGTCCCGCCAGCAGGATGGAAATGAGGAAGGTCAGGGTCAGAGACACATGTAAACTTCGAGAAATGAAGTCAAGGCATGGTCTTGCCAGGGAAGAAGTCATGGAAAGAGCAGGATCTTTAGGGAAATGTATACTGAGGGGCCAAGAAAACGATAGTGATAAGCCAGGAGAAGCAGGAGAGAGCTGGGTCGTGGAAATCCAGGGAGGAGCCTTCACAAAAGGAAGGTCTGGTTAACAGGAAGCAGATGGTAGCCCACTGCAGACGTCATTGATTTACATTACTTCTTCTCACGTCTGCTAATTGGTATTGTGTCTCAGGTCAGGCCAGCCATCTCAGCTCCCAGAAATCCTTCTCCCTCTCTGTTCTTTTGGCCGTCAGACTGTAAAACTGGGCCTTCAATTTTTCTTTTCAGCAAAGTTACCCCAACTCTCTACAGAAAACTATTCACCCTAATTATAAATCTATTGCGTTTTCTAAGGCAGTAGTGAAAGATAATCTATTTTTATGAATGCTAGAGCAATATTTCTAAGGACTTTTTCCCCAGATGACATTTTTCTCATGTGCTCCTCATAGAGCCCTGTGAAACAGGGTTGGTACTTTTTTGGTGGTGCTGGGGATTGAACCCAGGGCTTCATGTGTGCTAGGCACATACTTAGCCACTGTGCTACATCCCCAGCCTGGGTTTGTACTATTTTAACAGACAAAAAAATGGAGGGTCACAGGCACGTGACTGCTCTAAGACTATAGGTTGTAAGTGTTGACACTGAGACTTGAACTCAAGTCTGTCTCTGCAGGTATCTAGACTATGAATTCGGCCATGACTCTAAGTATAGATTATATCACTATTAGTCTGAAAGCAATTGGAAATCCCTACAGGATCAATGACCTTTGGCTTAAATGAGTGAGTTTTAAATGAATTCAAGTACTGCAAAATATTGAAAGATACAATATGATTCAATTCAAAACTTGTCTATGGATAGACTACCACATTCTGAACCACGTCCAGTTTGGAAGCTTTTCTACAAGGAAGGGAGCACCTGCCAAGCTTGCTGAGTCAAAGTGGAGAAGAAAGTCAACATTGATTGTCACTGTGTACTGAATTACATGGGATCTGTGATTGCTACAACCTTAAATGAAGCCTTTCAAACCAAAATGCCTGCACTGGATGAACGGCTGAATGAACAAGGCTACACCCAGACTCTGGAATAGTACTCAGCAGAAAAAAGGAATGCTATGGACACTTACGCCACCTGGATAGACTTTCATATAGAGTGAAAACAAAGTCAATTTCAAACAGTCACATATTGCACAACTGCATTTGTATTAACCTTACCAAAATGACAGGATTGGAGACTGAGCCAGGAGCAGCGGCATATGCCTGTGATCCCAGCACTCAGGGATACTAACCAGGAGGATAGCGAATTTGAGCCCAACCTAGGCAACATGGCAAGACTCTGTCTCAAAATAAAGGACTGGGTATGTATCTCAGTGTGAAGGTCCTGGATTCAGTCCGAGTGCCGTTAAAAAAAATTAGAAATGGAAAATTGAGAGATTGTCAAGGAGGAGTAAGAATGATCAGCTGGGAAGGTGGTGGGTGTAGCTACCACCAAGCTACAAGCTGTAAACTATGCTAGGATAGGAGGAGGGAGACCTTTGTGCTGTGGGACAGATCCATGTCTTTATCGTTGGTTATAGTTATGCAGCTTAAGGAAGGTATAGAACTAAGAATGCATATTGCCCAGTGTTAATTTCCTAGTTTTGATGTTGTACTAGAGTAATTTAAGATGAAACTTGGGGGAAATTGTGTAAAGGGCACAAGGGATCTCTTTTGTGCTACTTCACAACTTTTTGTGAAACTCAAAATATTTTAAAATAATACCTACCAGTTGGCAAACTATGACCTCTAACTGTGAGACTGCCTGTTTCTGTAAATGAAGTTTTATAGGAACACAGCCACGCTCATTTATTTACTCGTTTATTGATTTCACACTACACAGCACAGTTGTGCAGTTATGAGACCATGTGACAAGCAAAAGCAGAACTATGCTATTGAGCCCTTTACAGAAATCGGTTACCAATTGATAAATGAGATATAGTAATTAAAAATGATTTGTGAGCCAGGTATGTTGGCACACACCTTTAATCTCAGCTCCTTGGGAGGCTGAGGTAGGAGGGATTGCCAAGTTTAAGGCCAGCCTGAACAACTAAATAAGGCCCTACCTCAAAATAAAAATAAAAATGGGCTGAGGATTTAGATGAGTGGTGTCTGGGTTCAGTCCCCAGTATTGGGAAAAAACTCTGGGAGAATAGCATAAAATGTTGATCGATTTTATTCATAAATCTATAAGACTGGAAAGTTATTCAGTAACTATCTTTGAGTGGTAGGAATGATAGTGATTATTCTTTAGTTTCCTGCATTTTCAAATTTTTTATAAAGATTATATATTACTATTTTAAAAATCAGAAGGACTTTCAAAAAATTTTTAAAAAATCCCTTTGATGGAAAATGTTCTACCATAATGAATATCGAACAGCTAGCTATTTCTATGTTTTCTCTCTTTACTTGGAGTTAGTTAACTATTATGGTGGCTGTTAGTGTTAAGCACTGGCTTAAAATCCTCGAAAATTTTAAAATCAAGGATAAAAAAGCATTCTGGAAATAAGAAACTGTTTTATGTAGTACAGCAAAAATGAAAAATGAGCGTTATAAAAATCTCAGTTCAACTGGGTGTGGTGGCCCACCCCTGTAATCTCAGCACTTGGGAGGTTGAGGCAGGAGGATCACTGTGAGTTTGA